AAAATAAATTATTTCGTTATTAAACTTAAATTAAATTATAATAAAAAAAATTAAAGAAATTACATTAAAAAATGAGAACTTCTAAATAGTTGATTTGATATTAACATTGATATATTTTTTTCAAAATTTTATGATATCTTCAAATTTATAATTTATTCAAAAATAAAATCATTATTGTTTTCTTAAGAACACATAAAATTGCATTAATAACATCGACAGAGACAAATAATAAAATAGAACATTAAAATTGAGATGTGTCTCGCTGCATTGCACGAATTAAAAGTATCTTCAACAACTATGTTATTTCTAAATTTTATAGATCTGAAAACAGTTTATTTTAATAGTTATATTAAATTCTTAAAAGAAAAGGAGAGAGAATGAAAACACCTCTAAATTGGGGAAAAAAACAAAAACAAAAACAAAATTATATCTAATTGAAGATACTTAACATCCGATAATGAAATGAAAAGAGCAACAAACAAAGCAATTATGAATTGTGGATGAACTTAAAAGCAATGTAAATTTCAAATACAAATGATGAGAGTGGTGCACTTCTTGTGGAACCCACCTTCCACAACTCCTTTCCATTTCTCATGTTATTTCATCATACATTACTTACAAAATTTCAGGCTATATTTGAGTTGAGTTAGACACTTTACGATATATTAAAATGGTACTTGCGTAATGCAGCAAGATATATCTTTTTTTTAATATTTTGTTTTATTTTTTTGTCTGTTGATATAATATGATTTATGTGGCTTTGAGAAAGATAATGTTTTTACTTTTGAATAAAAATAAATTTGAAAAATATATCAATATTAATATCAAATTAACTATTTAAAAGTTCTTGTTTTTTATATAATTTATTTAATTTCTTTTTTATTATAGTTTAATTTAGATCAAATAGTGAAGTAATTTATTTTTGGTTTAACAATAAATTTTTTTATAAAGATAATGATTATGTTAGAACTCGATAATTATCCTAATTATATTTTAGATTTTTTATATTTTAAAATGAGATGTTTATCTTCTATTTAATTATGTTTATCTGCAGTTATTTACACGAATTCAAACATAAAGCTTTAATAAGTTGTACGTAAAAGCGTATCTTAATTACCAAAACATGTTTTTTGTAAAGTGAGTTGAATAATATAAACTTTAGGAAATTTGTTTTAGTAGCAAAGTTGCAAGTTCACTTTACTGAAAATGTATAAAGCCTATGAAACTGTTTGTTTCAGTTCCAAAGTATGCTTGCTTACTGAACACTTTAAGGGCTGCTTTTTCTATTTTATAACCAGGCATGACATACTCTTCGGTTTGATCTACAAGCCGTTGGATCAAATATGTCAGATATCAACCGCTCTCATTCATTAAGAAGACTAAGTTCATATTTATCGTTAACGTTTATTTTTCCAGCTTTATCTAGATCTGAGAGTGTTTCCGACTGAATATAAGATAGCCACACCAGATGCTGTTACAGCACCAAGCAGCATAGCAGTTTGAAAATTGAAATGGGTTTGTCCAATGGAACCTTTGAAGTATGCCCACATCCATCGAGAGAAGAAATGCACCGTGCAAGTCAACTGGAACTTCCGTACACAGAATTTCTGCATGAAAACTCCGAACATCAATTTCTTAATATTTTTTCATAAAAGAAAGGTCAGAAGTAAATATTAGTGATGGAGGGAGTAGAAACTATTGCTTAAGTTCGTTTCAATTAAGCATCCTAAATAAAAGACCAACAATGAAGTCGAAATATAGACCGTAAAACCAAACAGTCATTGGCCTAGCAGTATCCAGATTACCAGTAAAAGTAGACTGTAAAACTGTAAAACATCTAGGTTGGAATGTTAAAAGTATAACCTAAGGTAAGAGGGGGAAGTGAGTGAGCAGCTGTCATTGCATTGGTTTATAATTTACCCCCTTCGACAGTAAATTGAGAACAACTCCTGCTGAAGTTTTCTAAAGAGAAATCCTGCACAATCCCAAATCAATTTACAGAGCTTAATACAACGTTCCAACAAGCTTCAGTTGTAACTTTTATGCACTTATATCATGGACTCCTTAACTATATAACCTTTTGTTGCTCCACCTGCGTGGGACATGTTTTCAGCCAAAAATTACCAACAGATTATAACTCTTGATACATTATTGGATTGTAACGAATGATTCATAGATGTACTCTTGGAATTTAGAAGTGTCACCTAATTACTGGTTAAGATAGTATAGATACGGAAAAGGACATGTGTCATTGAAGCTCATGTACAATTATGAATGGATCAATGTGGATGCATCTATGTTTAGCAAATATTAAGGATAATGAAGTACCAGAGGAAGTGATTAATGTTTACCTTCGGCAACTTCTTCTGATGGGCAAGATGGTCAACATGGAGCCTCACATTAGATGCAGCAAGAACCCAAAGACTGCGGTCAACATCAGCATATGTATATGCAACGATGTCGAACAAAGTATTGGAACCTGCTTCTATGGCTTTCAAGATAGTATGTTCTCTATTTCTGCGGTTCCTGAAGTAAAAAGATTACTTAAAGATTTGAATCGATTCTGGCATCAGGTAAAGTATGCTTCCGAGTGAAGATGACATACGTTTTTAATAATTCTATCCTGTATCACCTTTTAGCAACTACTGTCATTCCAAGAAAAATGCTACAATATCTATTTTGGGAGGTCCAGAGACAATTGCAAAATATCTCTTTTTGGAAAAACTTCCGATCTAGAATTACCAATTTACCCATGGTACTGTTATGAAAGACGTATTACATAATGGAGTTGAGTTTCATACTTGAGATACCCACAAAGCATGTGTTTGGGCCACAGATTAACCCTCCCATGCATGGAGATCAAAACATTCGGTGAAAGGTCCATAAATTTGTAAGTTGTTTGGAAGTAATCCTGCAAAAGAATTCAAGGCTTGAATACATTGAGAACTAGCGTAGTAATAACACCTGCAATAATAACTCGTTTTTTGGTAACACGTATAATGTTCTACTACACGTGTATCCCTTCCCATCTAGAAACTGATGGAAATTAGACAAAAGTAGGTCAACATGTTAAGATGGATGTCACATACATTATTGGGGAAACAATTGCCATAAACAAGAATAAATGATGTTATCACCGTTATCACTCAAATCTGGTAATTGTTGTGTGATTTCTTTCTAAAAGAGATTACACTATATAAGATCAAGAAACCTAAACAGGGAAATACTAACACTACTCTATAGAAAGATAAACCGAACTTTTTTATATTCAACACTCCTCCTCAAGTTGGAGCGAAAATGTTAATCATGCCCAACTTGTTACAAATAAAGTCTATTTGAGTTTTCGGCAATGGTTTCATGAGAATGTCTGCAAGCTGGTGTTAAATCTTGATGTGTACCGGTTACATGGTCTCTAATGAGATGACAATCAACTTCAATGTGTTTGGTCCTCTCATGGAATACTTGATTCTTGGCTATGTAAATGGCTGACTGGTTATCACAATACAATCTCATCAAGCCCTTTGTCATCACTCCAAACTCCCTTAGGAGTCTCCTTACCCACGTCATTTCACATGACACATCTACCATTGCTCTGTATTCTGATTCGGCACTTGATTGGGAGACAATATGTTGTTTCTTGCTTTTACAAGAAACTAGATTTCCTCCTATGAATACACAGTACCCAGTAGTTGATCTCAAGGAAATGGGACATCCAGCCCAATCTACATCCGAGAAACCAGATATTCTACCATCTCCTTCTTCAATAAAAGCACCCACTCGACAATGGCCTTGATCAAAATCTGGTCGAGTAACTGTCAAATAGTTCAATTTTCCAACCAATCTCCTGTATCTCTCTAGATCCTTCATAGGACTTCATCATCCGGAAGAAGCTTCTCTGTAGCGAGCATCGGTCTGGTTTACATCCCAACAGACCACATTCAGTAAGCATATCAACAACATATTTCCGTTGAGACAGAAGAATCCCTTATGAAGATCGAGATACTTCTATCCCAAGGAAGTAATGAAGCCGTCCAAGATCAGTAACTTGAAATTGAGTTTGTAGAAATTCTTTTAGTTCTAAAATTCCGATGCTATCATCTTCGGTAATGATAATGTCATCTACATAGACTACCAGTATGATACGTCGATCTTCATGGTGTCTAAAAAACAGAGAATAATCCTGGGAACTGCGGGTCATACCAAATTCCTGGAGAACATCTGAAAATCACCAAACCATGCTCTAAGAGATTGTTTAAGACCATACAATGAACGTCGCAATCGGCAGACTTTTGTAACCTCCTCCTCAATAACAAAGCCGCGTGGTTGTTCCATGTACACCTCCTCCTCAAGAATGTCATTAAGAAATGCGTTCTTGACATCCAACTGATGAAGTGGACCAATGATTGATCGCAACGAGAGCGATACAAATGCGAACTGACGGCATTTTAGCTACCGGGGAAAATGTCTCGTCATAATCAACCCCATGGGCTTGAGAATAACCCTTTGCAACTAATCGGGCTTTCAAACAATGCAGTGAACCATCAGGATTAACTTTCACTGTGAAAACCTACTTACAACCTACTTTATGCTTTCCACGAGGAAGTTGTTCCAAGTCCCAAGTATGATTCTTCTATAAGGCATCCATCTCTTCCTGCATTGCCTTAAACCATCTTGGGTGATTAAGGGCCTTGGTCATATTTCTGGGAACAATGGCTATCAATGGCTGTGTTGTAGGCACATGACTCTGAAGAAAGGTGAGAGTAGGCAAGGTAATCATGAACGGGATATTGAGTGCGAGTCCATGTGCCTTTTTGGAAGGCAATGGGAATATCAGGGAGATGAGCATCAGGCGGATCATAAGGCTCAGTACGTAGTGGTAGGGGTGTATCATTGACTGGGTCGAAGGAAATATCAGTGGCCGATGATAAGTGTGTATCAGGTGGTGGAACGGGAGACGTACCAGAAACATCATGCACATGTAGGCACTTGTGGGTCTCAGACACTCGTCGTTGGCTCTGTCGAACATATACATTTGTGAAACGAGTATCAGTATGAACTGTTGGAATAACGAGATTTGGTATCACCACTGAAGGCTATAAGACGCTAGGATCAAAAGAATCAGAAGGATCAGAAAAAAGATTTGTTGACTCGGAAGTGTTGGTGATAGGTTTACCATAGAAGGGACTCGATTCATTGAATGTGATATCAGCAGAGATAAAATACCTACGCAAGGTAGGACTATAACAACGATAGCCTTTTTGAACAAAGGAATACCCAAGAAACGCACACTTGATAGCACGTGCAACAAGTTTGTTATGTCCCGGACGATGATCATGAACATAACAAACACAACCAAAGATTTTAGGAGCTAGAGGAAACGAAGTGCCTTTTGAAAATAGGATGGAGAAAGGTACCTTTCCTTTAAGGACTAAAGAGGGCATACCGTTAATTTGATAATTAGCTGTAAAAACCGCATCGCCCCAAAAACTTTGTGGAACATTATAATGAATCATCATAGTGCAAGCTACATCCAACAAATGGTGGTTCTTTCTTTCAGCAATGTCATTCTGTTGGGGTGTATAGGCACACGATGATAGGTTTAGGTTTGACAAGTTGCTAGCAAATCCTATGCCTATAATTTGGCACGAGGATCCATTAGCAAGTCGAACCGGAGTCTGGGGTATATCAGTATTGAGATTGGATATAAGGTTTTTGTTCCCAGTCATATGATATGTGGCTCCTGAATCAATAATCCATGATGGTGAACATGTTGAAAAATAGGCAGAAGGTATACCTGACTGTGTTGTACTAGCACGAGGAGTAGGTGAAACCTGGCTAGAAGGATCATGCTGGAATTGAGAGACATCTTCATCATGGAAAGTGCTAGTGGGGGTGGTATAATCTGTAGATGCTATCTGGGCTCGAAAAGGACGAGGTGGCGATTGAGATCCGGGACCAGAAGTAGGACGATTTGGGCAGTTATACTAGGTGTGCCCAAACTCCTTACAATAAAAGCATTGGATCTTCTTGTTAAACCCTTGAAGAGGCAAAAGTGGATACATCAGTCCTGGATGGCTGTGATGGAGCATGACCTGAATACATTTCTCGGGCAAGATGATAAGTTGATGCCAATGATTGAGATATTGAGTGACTCAGTAGTAGAGGACGAGCACTGGAATATTTGGCAGACAATCCCGAAATGAATGTCATCACATCCATTTTTGCTACCCGCTCCTCCTGAACTTTAACATCAGGATTGACTGGGAAAAGAACTTGGAGCTCTTCTGATAGCTTTGATAGTCTACTATAGTACTCAGTGAGATCGGAGTCGCCTTGTTCGCATCTGAAATAAGAACCGAACACGGAATAAGTATGAGACAAAGATTCTTTGGCTGAGAAGGAAGACTCCAAGTGGATCCACATCTTCTTTGTGGTACGATAATTATGAGCAATACTTAGGACTTGTGGTTCCATTGCATTCCATAGAGCCATTCGGATACCACTATCATTCAGTTTCCATTCCCCGGTTTTTGGGTTCGGAGGGTCGTAACTTAAATAATCATCTTTGTCCAAACTTTCAAAACCAGTTTGGACAAACATACTCCCAATTTGTAGAGTTAAGTTTAACCGGAATCTTTAACACGGCAGAAAAATTGATTATACCCGGAATGGAGAAGTCACTAGAGGTCGCACCCTGAGTTTTTTCTGTAGGTGCCATTAGTGAGCTTGTTATATATAAAAAGAAAGGTTGGAATTAGTTCCCTCACGACGTTGGTTCTCTTAGATGTATAAAAAGGCTGGAACCTTCTCACTGGCTTGTTCAAGTTCTGGAAAAACAAATGAGAAAGGGAAAAAAAAGGAACCAAAGGGGGGTCTTCCTTCTCCAGGTGTTATCCCAGCAGCCACACCACAACAGCCTAGTGAGAAATTGCTCAAACACCTAGTATCAGCCTTCAGAACGGCAGCGCCGGCGACGGCGGCAGGTCTGGAGATGTGGATCTCGACGTGGACAAGAAGGCCAACGGGGGAAGCTGTTTCAGGCAACGGCTATGACAGCGGCTAGGGTTTAGGCGAGTTCCGGCGGCAGCGGCTAGGGTTCCGGCGATGGCATCTAGGGTTCTGGCGACATGTAGCATTCCATCAGCTCTGATACCATGTTACCACTCAAATCTGGCAATTGTTATGTGATTTCTTTTAAAGAAGATTACAATATATATAAGATCAAGAAACCTATAAAGGGAAATACCAACACTACTCTATAGAAAGGTAAACCAAACTTTGCTATATTTAACAATCACAACTCACTATATTTTAAGAGATTATATACAGACGAGTCGCTTAAACTGCAACTACCTATCATTTTGATGCAACAAAGACACAACATTAGGTTAAGTTGCACAATTATGCACGACTTTTTAAAACCATAATACTCGCAGCAGAGGATGCCTTCATGATATTAAAGTTTTATATGCATTTTCACTCCTGTGGTGTAAATAGCATATTTACGACCACAAAGAGCAACCTATAACTGTTTAGGATTTCACTCATTTCTCACTAAACCAACGAAGAACAATAGCATCAAATGGCCTTTGGCCAACCTCCAAATCCTTGAGGCCATCCGTTCAGGTCTCATATTAACATGTTTGTTTGAGCAAAAGAGAGATAAAAAAAGAGAAGGAAAGGAAAAGGAAAATAAGAGAAGAACGATGTGATCAGAACTTGCTGTAAATGTAGCTATTACTCTGAGAACAATGTATTTTGGATCAAGAGCAATATATTGTCGTACTAAATACAAGACAATATTTTATTTGCAAGAACAATATATAAAGTAAAATGTACACTTACACTCATATTACCACCAGCATTGATATCCAAGATAGCACTTCCTTGTCTGAAGAAACACAGATGTGTGAATGTCAGTGAAACTAATGACACAAACATGATGGATAGCAATACTAGTTTGAATATTAAATTCTTATACTTTTAAGCCACTGTACTACGAAAGGTTATATAAACTGTATACAAGTATGAGAGCTTAGGATTGGGAGAAAGGGAACAAAAAGGGTACACAAAAATAATGGCATGGTGACGAGCATTACAAAACTAAAAAGGTGACAATGGTGCCAGAAAGCTCCTCGGCTTTGTGAGGAAATTCTTTGTACACATACTTTCCCTTGCATTTTTGCGAGAGATTGTTCTATCACACAAATCAATGGCATTTTAGTGGATTAGTAACCTTACTAGGCTCGCCCATGGCATGCCAAATAAAAATAAGAAGAAAAATGACTTGAGTAGGCATCAACCACATTTAAAAGGCCATTAGTCCCATATCACAGAAAATAATAACAATAAAGGAGATCAGATTGGAATGCACTACTAATCTGGTATATGATTCCTTTACCGAAAGTTGGATCTTATAAAAAATAGGATATCAAGTTGCAGCATCTTACCCCACACAATGATCTCCAACAATCAAGGAATTAGTGCTAACATGCAGCAATGCTAGATGTCCATCTGTATGCCCCTGTGTTATCAAATTTTAAATTTGTGCAACATATCTTAAATCTAACTTTTTAAGTTCTAAAACATGTATTAATAAACTGAAACAGAACATGGAGTAAATGAACTAAATAATCAAGAAGAACCTAAACTTATACTGATACTTGTATCTATGGCAGGAAACCAAATATTTAAGACATGTTTGCTTTTATCTACGCATAGGCAAGCTATAACAACCACACCGCCATCAGCATCCATCTTGATTGTCGAACCAAATTTCACAGAAAAATAAATCCACTAAAGTCAAACTCTTGGGAATTTCATGTTTCAGGAAAAACAAAATCCAAGCATCTTAGTGCAAACAATTTCAACGGCATATTTTAGAAGAAGAAAAAAATCTTTTTTTCCTCTAAAAGTTTGAAGAAACCATATACTTTAGTCTCACTCATCTTCCGTTCACTAACCTTTTTGAGATCACAGGGTTTGCAAAAGGGATCAAGAAATCTTAGGGGCACTAGTTTTTTGCAACAACTAGCATGCCAAAATTTACTTCAGATATTTGACATCCATAGCATAGCAAGATATCAAATCGAGACCTCCAAAGATTTGCTACTCTAATCATGGTATTCTTTCATGAATGAAATCATTGACTTGTCCATTCATCTTACTAGTTTCAAAAGATTGTTTTTTACAGCTTGAGTAGAACCAAACTGAAAACTAAACATGGTGACACAGAAAATGCAAGATTCACCATTTTCATACCCCATTTTCAGTAGATCACGTGATTTGTTGATGATGGTGCCAAAAACAGCACCACAAGTTGTTGCGTTTAGCTTTGCCTTCATAATTTACACTTCCAGAGCACAGTGCCCGAATATGTGCAATCATTACACAATTGAGTTGTGGTTAAGGTCAAAAAGTGATACATTTTCTATTTTTCTATTTTTTAGCCCCAGCCCCCAAGATGGATTCAACACTCTAGCCAAAAGCAAAGTCAGCAAAGGGTGACCAATAGATCTTCCTTTTAGTTACTTTTAAAAACCTCACATGATTATCAATTGAGTGGGATATTTTACTTAGGTGCCACTGGGTCAGTTAAAGACAAATGATTGACATCTTCTCAAGCATACCATAAATGGACTACTAAATAGGCATTCTCTCATGGTTCCTCCTGTTATATGCTACTCTTATTAGCAAGGACTTGTTTGGTTGACAGTGGAACAATTTTGTGGCCTGTGTAAACCTAGTACAAATGTGATAATGATTATACTCCATTCTGAATGTAAACTCAATCTGTAGCCAATTAGTGCTTTTTATTATTTAGCCTTGAACGTAATTTTTTCATGTGTAACAAATGAGAACGCTGGTACAGATATCCCACATCATGTAAAATTTTAGAGGAATCCAAATAGATTCTAAACTTTTAAGCCTCTAATGCAATTTCACATCACCCATAAATCATTTGAGCCAATATTGCACATGGGGATGCATGCGAGAGAAAATATGGTTTTCCAGGTAATTAATAAGGCACAGCACTATCTTTCTTTCCTATACCCACTCCCCTGGTATAGTTGGACTCTTATTTAGGTGCATCATGGTTATTATCTGTCACAGGAAAATGATGTACCAGAACAGTAAGATCAAATTTATCAAACACACATATTTTAAGCGGTAATTACTGGAGCAAAAATGATCCTCAATCTCTCCCCACCAATGCAGATCTCTTCCGTTCCAGAAACTTTGGTATAACCAAGAGACCAATCTCCTGCGTGCCATAAACCAGAAATTAAAACAAGATCTGACAAATGGTAAATAAAAGTTTAGTCAGTTGACAAAATAAATGTGTTTTTCGCTATTACAAATAAACCGAGATAACTTTTTTTTCGTTCTTAGTTTGTGTGAAAGTTGTTTCTCACTCCACACCCCTTTTTTGATCAGCAAAGGTGATTTCTAAGGATGTGAGTAGAGACAAACCTAGGATCAAACACTTCTTTTGAGATGCAGTTATATTTCTCATTGAGCCTTTTCATGTACCCTTTTGAACTTTGGGATTTAATAGAAATCTGTGATTCAGAATCTTCAAACTGTTTTCATACAATTGGAAAAATGCAAGGGGGAAGGGAATTTGAACCCCTGAACTCCAACGTATTGCCACCTGCCGGATGGGGCCAAATTGTTTGCATATGATCGTTTTGATTAAATCCTTACAGGCTAAAAGCTCCATTCACAGTTATTCATTTGTGCATGAAGGCCAGTGACCGACTTAAAAATTATAGCACTCACTGTTCTGTGCACACAAGCCAGGTTGTTACTAGATTCATACAGCATACCATGAATTATGATTAAGGGATCCTTCACCAACCACCATATGCCTGATGGATTATGCATATACATTTTTCATATTAAGGTAGTTTTATTTTATCATTTCCTCTCTTCACATGGAACTAATGAAGCTCAGACTTCTAGATACTACTACTGCATAAGCAATATGTATTTAAGTAAGGACAGTTATAAACAACAATATCTAAAAGGACTACAGTGATCCGCTGTATTACTTATAGAAGGTTCTAACCTTTTCTTATGCGAGCCATTGTATTTTCATGGACCAGAAGGCAAGCATCAGGATTGCTCTTCTGTACAGTGGAAAGACCTGAATAGAAACACCAAATAAAGCATCAGAAGCAATATAACTTACAAATTCTAAAAAATGGTGAACCAAACATCAGAAACAAAACTTCAAGGGGATTTCACAGAGGGAGACTATGACTGCAAGTCAACATTCCCATAACAGGAAGAGAGCTTTTGTAACGCGGTCACCGATTATCCAAAAACATCAATTGATTAAGTAGCCACAATCAAAGGCAGCAAATTATGTTTTAAATGACAGATGAAAGTGTAAGGAAACAGTAGCAATTGAAGAAGAAAGATGGAGATGAATTGAAATGTAAGGAAGGAAGCCGAATGCTTTCAATTAATCGATGGGGTTTCTAGCTGTTTGAGAGGCCAGAGCTCTCCCGTACAAAAGTGTTGTCAAACTTCTCTATACTTCTCACCTCACCACTCACAGGCTTTTATAACAGAAAACAATGTAAAATTCCTACACTACCCTTATGGCAGAACTCCTCTGTCATGCAAACTACTGTAATCCACCTGCTCCTTTACTTCCCACCTCTTGTGGTCCCAGCCTCACCAACTTCCCTTGAGCTTTCTTCTCGAATAGATGAATTGAATGGGTGGGTGCGTGTCAGAAAGCTATCAGGTTGTTCATGAAAACTTGTGCATATGCATCGGCTGGTAGTTGAACAGCAACTGACACTGTCCTATGGACATGGATAAGAAGTTGACGAAATTGCAAAAACAAGTTACTGAATAATGGCATAAGTTACTGAATGATTATACATGTCGAATGTTACAAGTTACAATAGCAAAAAAACTGTGAAGGGCAAGAAATTTGTCACTCAGACAGTAAACAAGACCCTTGCCTTCAAATGTTAGTCAACAAGTCAAAAAGCTTCAAGCCGGTATGTTTTTTGGATTTCCATATCAGTTAAAAGTCAACTTAATCTACTCCATACAGTCTTGTTCAGGTTACTTACTCAACTTGAGCATACACTCCATGGCTGCACTACAAGTTACAAGAAAAGTAAAAGTGCATTCTTTCTGGACATGCAGTAAATTTCAATTATACATCTGTCTTTTAAAAATGTTCTTATGTAAGAAGATTGAAGAAGATACTAAAACACAAGATCTTTCATGGCATGGTAAAGCAGCCAAAATTAGGTTCAGTGTGAAGTGAGATGTGTAAAGGGAGGAACTCTGACTTAAGATATTCTCTGAACTTTTCACATATTGTGAGCGGTGCCCAGCTCTCACTGTTTCAACTTTGCAGTCTAATTTCTTCTTTTCTGTACATTCAACTTACTTGGCTACTCATTGATGACTATAATAAACACTCAGGTGCTCTGTAATCAGAATAATCCTTTCAGCATTCAAGAAAAGTTCTTTGAAGACTTCTTTCAATTATTGCATCAATGGCAGGGGACTATTTACAGTCCCTTGTTTGACTTCATCCTCACAGAATAAGTAACATTTTCACCCATCAATTTCCCCATGAAAAAGTAATTCAGTTGTATTTCTTTCTGTTATTGCTTACCATCAACATGATCACGATGATGATGAGTGACAAAGACAATTAACTTTCGCGGTAAAGCAGCAACAATTTCTGCAAGCTGGATGTCACCAATTAAACAGCACATAAGTTACCAAGGAAGATCATAATAGATGAAAAAAGAACAATGATGGGTACAGTAAATGATGACATTGTGAATACAGCATGGAAATAATTTGACGCATGAAAGATGATTAACTTGGTTTCCAAATGAAATTACTCAGTATTTAAAGAACTAAAAGCATAATTCGATGCATGAAATTATATCTGTACCTCTTCATTGAACTCAGATCGGCATCCTGGATCTACTATCATTGCATCTCCCTGAGCAACAAAAGGATTACTTCCGTATTCGACATGATTGTTCCTGGGTGCAAATACAATCATATTTGTTGTATGATAAGGTTTTTGTGTTCTGCTTCCCATAGGTATGATGTTTACACCAGGCGGGTACTCCTAAAAGAAAAGCATATGCCACAGTTACATAATATGATATCATATGGCCAACAAACCCATTTCCTGAATATGGGTACAGAATTGCAAGTGCCTGTAAGATGTAAATATGAACCAACAGTCACATTTTTTCAATAGCATTAAAAGCGGACATTCTACTAACATCCAAAAACCAAATAAATAAATGCATACTGCTGATTATAATTTGCCAATATGATTCGTTGTTGGAGACACCTATGTTCTCTATCATGGATTAGGACTAAACTACTTCCTCAAGCCAACTTATCCTTCCTTGATTTCCATAGAAGGGTTTTTCACATTCTACCTATGCTGTTATATCGGTCAGAATACGAAATATCAGTCAGGACCAATATTCGATATATCGGTTATATCGGTGATATATCGGTGATATATCGGAAATAGCGGTTAACATAATATTTCTTAGAATTATATATATAATATGCATTAATTAGAGTTTAGAAGTCTGAAGACTGAAGTTGAAGTCGAAGTGTGAAGAAAAGTCGAGACTGAAGACTGAAGACTGAAGAAGTCGAGACTGAAGACTGAAGACTGAAGAAGTCGAGACTGAAGTGTGAAGAAGAAGTCGAGACTTGAAGTCGAAGTCGAAGTCTGAAGACTGAAGTTGAAGTCGAAGTGTGATTTGGGAAGAAAAAGTCGAGACTGAAGTTGAACGTGAAGAAGTCGAGACTGAAGTTGAACGTGAAGAAGAAGAAGACGTTGTGGAAAGATTCATACCTAATTTAAGTTATCAGCCCAAAAAATCGCTAAATATCGCTAAAAATCGCTAAAAATCGGAAAATATCGCTAAAAATCGCTAAATATCGGAAAATATCGCTAAAAATCGCTAAATATCGGAAAATATCGCCGATAATATCGTTCCCGATATTTTGACCGATATTTGAGTTCCGATTTTTTTTTTTGGAGCGATATCCGATATATCGCCAATATATCGACGATATATCGCGATTTTAACAGCATAGCATTCTACAAAAGCAACACTTGATAGAAGTCTACAAACCTGGCAAGACAAGGTTGGAGGCAATCTCAATGATTCGGATTTAGTCGAGCCTTTAAGTAGACCATCAACGACTAAAGGCCCAAGACGATCACCACCTGGATTTACTTGAAGAAGCAAATTAAAGCAGCTTTCGCTGCAACTCCACTGACAATTGTCTGAACCACATTTCCACTGTTATTCAGAGGACTAATTTACAGATTAAGTAGTAACCATGACAAATTAACAGTGTATTTTAGGAAGAAAGCACCTATGGAAAAAATTGTTAAAATGACAAAAGAAGATTTCACCCTAAGGTGGGACACCCACAAGAAGCATAAAAACCTTAACAATAATAAATAAAGCTAGTCATCTTCTAAAATTCAAATCAAAGTTATTGTTTGCAATTGAAATGGTGCAATCTACAGTGAATTGACTTACAATGTCATAGTCTTCACATTTACAATATGCTTAGCTATACATTTACAAACTTGTAGGGCTTATTTTGAGTAGTATACACAAGTAAACAATGGAACTTTTTTATAATCACTTGTACCAAAGAGTGTATTTTAGTGTTCTGGATACTAAATCGATTAGAGTGATCTCTTTCTTTCTTCCTTGCAACTAAGAACCTAGAATTTGAATTATTGAAAAGTACACCAAGCCAGCAACCTATGTAAAAAGTTAACAAGAGGACCAAGGATTGAGGCATGATTTATTGACACAATGAAATGTCTCTGTGTTTTTCAAGCACAAGGCTAACACTTATGCAGGCTTTTTCTTTCTTGGGAATGGTAAGTCACTTTCATGTTCACTTTAATTGCCTCATTCGATTAGAAAAAATTATCTTTCAAGCTAGACTTTACATTCCACATATTTTTTTCTTTTTCCTTTCCCCTTTGTTTTGGTCTTCAACATTTTCCTGATTCACTGCCTCTTTTATGTTCTTCTCTTTTTACCTTTGATTTTGCAGTTCACTGACTATGATTTTTTATGAACAACTTTGAATTTAGTGACCACACCATGTTTTGGAACTGTGAGGAACAATTCAAACTTTCTGCACTGCTTTCTCTTTTCTTAGTAGGAACTTGTAGTACAAGATAAATGATAAGTCTGTTGAACTATCTCCTGAATCTTGAGTCTTCTAATTTGTTGCATGATGGTAAATATAGCTGATATTTCAAAGAACCCTCTTGCTTCAAGCAGGAGCGTAATACACTTCATATAAGCACATGCCTTTGCTCCAGCATGTGCCTGTAGAAGACTTTTGAAAACGCCCCTCAATAGACCAAAAAACAATGACTTAATACATCTTCCAAGACATGTAGGAACCAAACTCAATTGAAGTACACACACATTAGTTTCTTAAATGAAAATGTGTGCTAAATGTCTTCTCAGCTGTGTGGATCCATGTAAGTTGCAAAAGTCAATCCATAAAATGCCATATTCACTATACAAACCATAATAATTAACATTACCGCATGCTAACCTTTTAAAGTCCCAACACTAGGAACAAGGTCCCCAGTAATATACACAGTCTCAATAGGAAATCCTGGTCCAAAATTAGGTTCCTCCACAAGCTTCAAAAACTTCCATTCTGCCACACTAACGGTTCCAAAACCCACTTGTCCCAAAACCTACGATCACAGAACCGACTTGATATCAACTTAATATGCAATAACATCATTTACTTGCAGAAGTAGCAGTAGCATGTGTAATTCCGAGTAGTGTTGCAAAGTTATACTTTTGTGAATGTGTGGACGAGTGTGTGCTATTGTTTGCAGAAGTATATCCTGAATCATGGAACCAATCACATTTGTGTATGGAAGTGATATACATACGTACAAGGCTTATTCAGCAACTCAACCTCAATCCGTTTATCCAAAATATTCAAAACTTAAAATCTGCAAAGTTACCAGTATTATTTGACTTGGTGAATTTCACACCATGATAAACATCTAAAAAAACTAGACCCACCCTTCCAAAATCAGAGATGTGGCCTTTTGGTAAAATGAGACAAGATTCAACCTTTTGGTGTTGCTCCATTCGTCCCAAAGAAGAAGTATAGTTTGATTTTCAGGTCGTGCATTGTAACACCCTAATTTCTTTATTGATAAATCTCAATATTTCAGCCTTAAATGCAAATAATTATGAATAAATCAAGTACTCCAGCAGCTGTTACATTTAGTAAAACATCTTAATTATAAGACTAAACAAGCTAATGATGAGTTGTTAAGGCTGAAAATGTGTTGGCAAGTCTAGTAAGCATGACTGAGCAAGCTAGTGAAGAATTGTCAAGTCTAGTAAGCATGACTAAGCAAGCTAGTGATGAATTGTCAAGTCTAGTAAGCATGAATAAGCAAGCTAGTGATGAGTTGTTCAGGCTAGAAAAATATGAGTTGGCAAGACTGTTGATTACAAGACAAATCTAGGAAGGCATGACAAGGAGTACTAGAAGCATGATTTGTATAGATTCTCTTATCCTTAGAGATGAGTTGTCAAGATTCTCTTATCTTTATTGATGAGGTGTCAAACTCTCATAAGAGTACAATCTTGAAAGCAAAAAGAACAAGTAGTTAATTCAATGAATTTATCTATAAATAGGGATCTAAGGGTCACTATTTATGCATACCAAAAATAAGAAATCTCTCTCTATATATACATAATTAAGCTTGAAGAAAGGAATCAAAGGAAAAAGTAGGCAAATCAAGGTGAGTGCTTATGTGATTTATGAGATACATGCATGCTATATATAAAACTATTTTATGCATTACAAGTTATGTTAACATGTTTTTTTACATGAAAATATTGATACGCAACATATTCAAGATACGCATGATGACATGTTTTAATACAAGTATACACACAAGACATAAAAATCATTTACATGTTATCATATGTGTTACACAAGGCATGAAATTTTTTACATGTTATGTATAACCATAATATCCAACGTACGGGATATTACAGGAAGGAACGTCTTGCAAACGGACCTTATAGGGCAGCCTTTTATGGACCCGGGGGTTAGCAAACCTCAAGACAAGTACGGTATACATGCATGTGACAAGTAAGATCTCAAAAAAGAATGTTTTATGCATGATAAAGAATAGTACTTTATGAATGTTTATGCATGATAATAAAGAATATTTTTATGCATGATCAAGAGCTTTAATGAACTATCATTCACAAAATATCATGAAAATTTGTCATTCATGAAACCATAAATACTCACTAAGCTTATAGCTTATATATCTCATGTATGTATCTCAGGAAAGAAGTAAGGAGGATTTGCATAAAGTAATATGGTTTTAGTTGAAAAGCAAGTTTTGTTGTAATACAAGCTATGTTTACGTTTCCGCTAAGTAATTTTTTTCTTTGATGTAATTTCAAGATATGTGATAAATAAAGCTAAATTTCAAGTTCAGATTCAAGATTTAATAGTTTTATCATGTAAATTAACGGCACCCAATATATAAAGACGTGCGGCGTTACATGCATCAATGTGCAGGAAAAGGGGGGGGGGGGGGGGGGGGGGGGGGGGGGGGGTATTCACCATTAAGGGTAACCATTTAATAACACTACCTCAGTCCAAAATACCTAAGCATTGGTACTTGATGATCCTAGTGCCTTCTGAATACAAAGATTATATGAAATTTGTTACCATTCATCGCCCCTTTTCATTTGTACTGGTTTTTGAAAGAGAAGATGTATTTCTGAACAATTCAATTTCAAAATGAGTTTTATCTTATAGATCATAACCAGCTCGTTTATGACTTCGTATTTTAACAAAACCGGAGTGTATCTAAACAATTCGATTATATAACAAGTTTGCTGTACGAATTATCCGTGCGTAGAAGTATAAACTCACTAATTAATACCTCCCCGAGAGCTGAATGAAGATCAAATTTCCTCAAATTGAGTTTCGGTAGACATACTTCTTCGCCTTGCAGTACAATTTGATTCGAGGAATCTACTTCCGGTGATAGTGAGACCAATTTGGCCGACGGCAAGTCCCAGAGATGAGAGTCAGCATAGGAGTCGTACTCTTGATCGTCGTATTTGGGAGGCGGAGTTTGCTTAACGAGAAGGAATTCGTGGTTATTGGTAGGGTTTCGAAAAATCGCAACAAGCTTGTATGTGGCCATTGATGGATTGATAAATTGAAATCAAAAAAGGATGTTGCTTTTGGGGGGATTTGCAGCAAGTAAGAGTTACGTCGAGGGTAGTTGCACCGGTTTTTGGTGCCACTGTACGACCTTCTTGACGCACCGCCGGCGCCGTCATTTTATCTATAAAATTCTCTTTTTTTAATATATATTTTTACTTGATAAAAAGGTAATCCCCTTGCATTTCGAACAAAATTTATCTATATGAAAACTTTTAAAAACTGTTAATTAATTTATATTATTTAAAATTTAAAATTATAAGTAAATTGTGTATAAGTATAACTTATTAAAGCTCCATATTTGAATTCGTCTAACTAACTGCAAATAAACATAATCAAATATAGTGTTTTCATATATCTATAATACTAATAAATAAGTAACTTTGGGGACACGTGTTGCGTTTCTGTGCGACGGTTGTT